GGCTTTTCACATTTCTATGTATTTAATTGTAGAAGGACTCAGTTCCCTCTAAGCAGCGTTAACTCTTACAAAAAAGACATGATCCTCCTCTAAGAGAATCCGTAATGTACCTTATTTTGTGCATCTACTTTTTCTTGTGCTCTATATAAGAATACAACTCTTAGCACCAGTGGACAGAAAAATGCTGCCCTGCTCAGCAGATGGTAAGAGCTGGGCGAATGTCTCATTGTATGCAGCTCATGAGAACTATAAGGTTGGAAGGGAACTCTGGAGAACATCTGGTCCAACCTCCTGCTCAAGGTAGGGCAAATTAGATAAGGTGGCTGAGGGTCTTCTTAAATTTTGAGAATTCCTGATGGTGGTGATTTCCATTTACAAGTGACCTCTGTATGTCCCCCAAAGTCCAGATTCCATAGGTTCACTCATTTTTATATCTTAATGAACAAGTGGCTTGTGTGGGTGCTTGTCAGTTTGTGGACCGTCCACAAATTTCTCTCCTTTTCTGCAAACTCCAAAAGAAAAGAAGGAATTCTACAGATGTTTTGTAAGAGAAACTTGGAAAGGAGGAGAGGTGAGGATACCAGGGAGGGGTAACAGTTACAAACAGCATAAACGGAATTTTGTTTGTGAGCACTTTCAGACAGCTTCAGCCCAGCTCTGATCATGATGTCTACTTGCATGGCCTTCATCTGTGCTTTCCCTAGCTTGGTACTAGCAGCAGCCAAGGGACACCCAAGGGTGTATGGCATTCTGTACTCCAGCCTTCCTCACCTTCAGCTCAGCATGGGAGTGCAGCAGCTTTGAAAATTTTGTCCAGTAACTTAAGCAGAATTATCCATCACTCCAGGCAGAATCAGCTTGGGTGGTTTTGGTTCTTATTCAGCAGGCTCTAGCAGTCAGCAACCTCTGTTCACACTTCCAGCTGGAGAGTGCAGCTGTAGTCACCTCTGGTGAAGACCATCAATCAGTAACTCAGAGGCTTCAAGCAGACTTTGCAGCTCTCTCCGAAAAAATGCATGTGCTTGTGGGGTGGAGGACACAAAAACTTGGTCCCTCTCCGTAAAGATGACTGAGATCAGTCTTTAAAACACACCCAGAACGAAAAACGTATTTAAAACAGTATGTGAAATAGCTGCCACATTTTTGTGCGGTACCCTGCTCCCCCAAAATATGAAATTAGAGTGGGTGTTGGTTTTCGTTCTTTTTTCAATGCTCGTGCCGAGGAGCTTTCTGTCACATCGTGATGGACAACCAGTGGTGCATCCTTACTCATCCATGACAAGATCTTTCATTTCTTACTAAGGTGAGCATGCAGTTCTGCTTCGAAGGCCATCTTGTCAAAGGTGCGCGTGTTCGTCTCCTCCCGCACCTTTTCCCGGACATGGAAGGATGCTCGAGCAACAGACCTGGCATTTTCTAAGACAGTCTTCTTCTCCTTGAAGATCTGCTCACTTCTCTCCAGCTTCCTCTCTATAGAGAGGAGTATTTCCCTGCGCCGCAAGTCCTCATACTGTTCCACCTTTTGCTTGTTCATCTTCTGCACTTTTTCCTTTTCCAGACGGCTCAAGACCACTTTGCGGGCTTTTTCTTGGACAGCCTCTTCAGCCACCTGGGCAGCATGCTGGAGCTTTCTCTCTCTCTCTCTAGCCAATGCTTCCAAGTGCTCCCTCTGCTCTCTTTCCTTCCTCTCTGCTGCCAGTTTAGCTCTCTGGATCTGCATGTCCTCACGCCTGGCCTTCTCCCTCAGCTCCTGGTTCCTTTTCTCCACAAGCTGCTCGTAGTTCTCCTGAGCCTTTGTCAAACTCATCTTCAGGGATGCCTTCAGCATTTCCTTCTCTTCTGCTTCTTGCTTGGCCAGTTCCTTCAGCAAGGCCTCATGCTTCAGCTTCTCTGCTTGGTTGAACAGTCTCTTTTCCTTCTGCAGCTGCACCTCCTTCTTCAGCCTCTTCTGGGCAGCTGTGGACAGCTTCTCTTGCAGGAGCTGCTCCTCTCGCTCCTGGTGCTCCTTCTTGACCTCTTCCTTCGCCTTCAGGTTGAGCTCTTGATGGAGCTTTTTCTGCTTGTCCTCCTTGATGGCCCTCTCCAGCCTCTCCCTCCGCAGCCGCTCCTGCTTCTCCGCTTGTTCCCGCCACCTCTCCTCACACACCAGGAGCTGCCTCTGTTTCATCAGGGCGGCTTCCTCCTGCTCCTGGTTCAGTCTCCCTCGCCGCTTCTCCACCTGGCTCTCCCACATCCGCTGTCCCTGCAGGAGGGCCCTCTGCTTCTCCTTCTCCTCCTGCTCCTTCCGCTGCTCAGCCAGGCGCCGCTGGCTGTCCCACTGCAGGTGGGCTGCCTGCCGCTGCTCCCGCAGGAGGTTTGCCTCCTGGTGCTTGGCGATCATCAGTGCCGCGATCTTCTTATCTCTCTCTGGCACCTCTGAGAGACCCTTCTTCCTCTTCACCTCCCTGACGATCCTCTCGACCCTCTGGGCAGTCTGTGGTGAGTGGCTGAGGTCGCCCAGGCTGAAGCTGCGCCCCAGCAGAGTCCCATTGGCGGCGGCCACCCCCCGACCCCGGCCGCACACCTTGCCCCCGCGCTCCCGCAGGCTCTCCCCGCTGTAGGACGACGAAGCCCCCGACTCAGAGGAGGTCTTGCCCCAGCTACCCTCGCGGCGCTTCTGCAGCGAGTCCAGGGAGTGGCTTTTGCCTTTGGCACCCCTCGATGCCCGGACCTTCCCCCCGCCATGGGTCCGGGGCCCTCCGGCAGCTGCGGCCGCAGCCCGGGAGGAGACGCGGGCGGCGGGCGAAGGCGGCAGGCTGCCGAGGGGCGCGAGGATCCGCCTCTTCTCCTCCCGGATAATCCTCTCCCGCTCCTCCCGGCACTGCTGCAGCTTGCGGCGGCGCTCCCGCTCGTAGGCCTCGTAGAGGCCGGCGGCCACCCGCATGGAGCGCCCGGGCGCCTCTCTCAGCAGGTCCCCCAGCGCCCGCGGCAGCAGCTCCACGGGCCGCACGGCGCAGCGGGCGCAGGCCTCCAGCGACCGCGGGCTGGTCAGCACGTACCGGCTGCCCTCCGCCGCCGCGCAGTCGAAGTTGTACAGGTCCAGGTGCAGCAGCGGCGACTGCTCTCCAGGACGGGCCGGCTCTCCCCCCGCTGCCCCCCCGGGTGCCGGGCAGGGCTGCGGGGGAGGCTCGGCCGGCGGCTCCACCATGGCTCGGCCTGCGGGGCAGAGAGCGGCGGCGGGTGAGCGGGCGGGCAGCGGGCGCGCAGACCCCTTTGTGTCCCCGGGCAGGGGCGCGAAGCGGCTGGGATGGGGCGGCGGGGTGTGCACCGGGGGTGCCTGGGCTGGGCTGTGTTTCCGCGGGAAGGAGGCAGGCTGCGGCAGGTGTTGGGCGCGGAGGGGCAGCGTCCGGGGCGGGGGGGCCCGGGGCGGGGAGCCGTGTTTGGGCGGTCGGGCACAGGGGCGTGGTGGTGGGGGCGTCTTTAGGACGGGCGGGTCGTGCGCCCTGTGGTGCGCGCGGGGGCGTTTGGGGTGACGGGGGTGTCCGGGGTGACGTGCGGGGCGTTCAGAGCGCTCCGGCAGGTTTGGGCAGTGGGCGCAGAATCGTTCGGCAAGGAACGGGGGTGCTGGGAGCGCACGGCGTGTGTGTCTGGGCCGAGAGGGCGGTCTGGGCTGAGGGTGGCCGGGCCGTGAAAGAGGATGCTTTAGGGGCGCTGGGCTTGGCGGAGTGGCGGACGGGGGGTGTCCGCGCGTGAACGGGTGAACGGAGAAAGGGGTGCTCGGGGGTGTCAGGCAGGGCTGGCAGCGAGACCGACACCTACTCCCGGGCCACCGCCCGCGGCGCAAGACGGAGCCCCCCGCCCGCCCCGCTCCCCCGCGGCACTCACCGGGCGGGCGCGGCCGCAGCCCCGCTCTTTGTCTCGGTGCCGGCGGCCTCGGGGATCAGGCGGGCGGCGGCGGCTCCTCCATGGCACCCCGGCCCCGCGCGGCGCCCCCAGCTGCGGGGCGGCGGCGGCGGCGGGCACGGCGGCCGCCCGCAGGCTGCGGCGCCCCGCGCTGCCCGCTGCAGCCCCGCGCGGGGGGCGGGCGGAGGCGGGCGCGGGGGGAGCCCGCCCCGCAGCCCCGCCGGGCCGGGCCGGGGGCAGCGCTGCGGCCGGCCGGGGGACCCGCCCCCGCCTCCCCGCCGCGAGGGGCCGGGCCCGTCCCTGCAGGCATCCCCACTCCTTGTGTGCGCATCCCTTCGTCCGTGCATCCTGCCCTGCACCTGCCCCTCCGAGCTCACGTCTTGCCCCACAGACATTCCCTAAATGAACGGCACTTTCATGGTCGTGCCCCCTGTTTTGCACTGTTCTTGCACACGAACAAGCCCATCTGCATTTACCGTTAATATAGACAAGGATAAAAGTGGTGTAAGAAGGAACGGGAGATGCTAACCCAATTTCACAGATGGCAAACTGAGCCCCAGGGAGATGAAGGTGCCTGCGTTGGGCTGCCTAGGGAATTCATGCCAGAGCTGGAAGGGGATGGTAAAGCTCTCAGATTTCAGTTCAAAGTAGTTTCCAACCATGAAACCTTATTCCGTTTGTGCTACTCTAAGTAAGCTATCTCTGCTTGATGCAGAGATGCGTCAGGCAATACAGTACATCTTTTTAAGTACCCACTTTGAATACGGTGCTTGCAATTGCTTTGAAATATCCCTGGTTTCTACAGGAATACTGGGCTTAACAGCCTTGGTGGAGTTGAGAAAAGCTTTGCTGTGGAAATATCATTCAGCCAAAAGAGGATCAGTGCTGCTTGTGGAGCTGCAGAGCATCTGTGCCACTTAGTGGAGCAACTCTGAAGAGGACAGGAGTAGTAAAGGCACCATTAGTCACTGTGTTATGAAGTTGATATTTTTCAGCAATTTCTCATTTAACTTCTACAGGTACACCTTAATATGTTTTGCTTTAATAAAGAAGAATATGGTACTCACCAAACGACTTTCCAGGATGGCCCAAGACAAGGATACAGAGCAAAAGAAGGACCCAAAAGGGCTTGGGAGTTCTTAGCAGAAAGCTGAGAAGCTGCAGGTTGGTTGTCACTTCATATTGTACAGGCAAAGACTGTGCTGATGAATGCACAGGGTAATGATGCATCCACAGCAAGTGAGCAACATTCACCAATAAGCCATATTGACTAGTCTGATCTCATTCATTCATCGTCATGATAGTCCGCAGGGGACAGTCATAAAGCTTGGTTATTAGTCATGGGAAAAATCCTCAGGCCAGGGAACAGCTCTGCTGTATGAAGAGCTCAGCCTTCTGGCTGGTGGGGCTAACCATTAATACTTGCTGTAGCACTGTAACTGGCAAGCTATAGCCGTGTTGCCTCCTCACGGGAAGTATTAAGCTGGTAAGTGTATATGCCAGGTAAGGTGTAGGCTCCTCCAGGCTTTTGGCATGTTGCTATTTTAGGCTTCATTGGGACTGTATTTGGCCCTTGATCTTTTCAGGTTTCCATGTGGATCTTTGGGAGCCCTGTAAGTGGTCTCCCAAATGCAGTTAAAAAGGGATTTATCAGGAGATTTTTCAAAGCAGCTGGATGTGACTCTAGGAGACATTAACACACACTATCCAAACACAGAGTCATATCCCTACCTCATCAAGACTAAAGGAGATTTGGGATGGGGAAGGAGGAAATAATTGGAGGAGTTTAAGTGGATCACTGCTAGTGAGTCATTTTCCCAGACACAATTATAAATCCTAATTCTCTGTTGGCTAGATATGTCTAGAAATCTATGTGCTCAGGTGGAGCAGTACTATAAGGTTAAGCTTTAATAAACATTTTCCAGTTTTGCATTGCTACTAATGATAGCAAGAGATGTGGGGCAGTGGAAAACTGGAACTACAGATTGAGTGGGTAGAAATTTTGGTATAATTTCAGCAAATTCTTCCGTATGCCTTTCATTGCTCATGTATCATTTACTTTCTTCCTATCCAGCTTTAAAACTGCCCATACCTGGCTTCTTCTCTGTTCTCTTCATGAGGGTTATTTCACAACCTGCTACACTCATTGGTAAAAGCTTTTGAGTTACTTTCAACATCAGTTTTCCCTCTCTTTGTTTTGTCTTCTCTTAAGTAATTTCACTCCCTTCTGCTTGGGTGTATGCCTTACAAATGTTTGTAAACTGTTTCTATGTCCCTTCAGAGACAAGGAACACATACTGTCATCACAAATCAATCACCCATAGTTGCACAAGGAGTTGTCACCTTCTGTCTCCTCCCAGCGTGTCAGACACTCATGTTAGCCACAGCCCTGAACTGAGCAGTGGGTTCCTGCCCCACACTCAGCTCTGTCTTGCCTGGCATGGTAGCTGCATGCACATTCCTGGTGCTGGTGTGTTGCCTTCCTTCTCTCTAGCTAATTTCTTTGTGTCCCCTTCTCTAATTTTCTAGCTCTCCTGAGGCTAGATCAATATAGTTTGACTTTCCAGAACTCTTCCCTCCTCTGTCAAGACAAATGTTAGTTGGTGAATTATTTCCTCCTTGCTGAATAGCCTTTGTTTTCCAGGTTGAATCCTGCCTTCGTCTAGTTTGCAATTTCTACTCTCTGTCTCAGGCTTTTTATACTGTTGTTGGGATGACCCCGACCTATTGTGTAGCTACTTCAGCTCTCAGCCTATTCCCTCTTGGTTAGACTCTTCCTAGTTTTGCACCAGAATATTCCTGCACCTTCCTGAGCCCTGTGAATAAGGGGAAAGTGACAGTCCTGGGGAGCAGATAGTAAGGAGCCCTCTGACACAATTTTTGCTGGTATCTCCCAGGAATATTGCCTTTCTCTTCGTAGCTGCTGCTGGGACACAGGCACCAATCATCTGCCAAAATATGTCCTTTCCCTGCCCAGATGCAGCTCCTGTCCCTCTCCCAGGACACACCAGAGCCTCTCCAGCACAGCCTTCTGTCAGCTGGATGGTTCAAGCACTAATTTAAAACTTTAATGAGGCACTCAGTCTAATGTTTTACTGATACCCATCACCATGGTATCCCTGGTTCCTTTCCTCTGAACAGCCACTTGTCACATGCCATAATCCTTTGTTTATAGTCCTGCAGCCCATCCAAGTGTGTGTGATTTTACAGCCTGATATGTGATAATGCTGAACAAAAAGTCCCATTTGACTTTATACTCTGGGCTTGCCTTATAGCCAAGGTCCAAAGCCCAGCATACCACTATGTCAGTGTAACAACCTGACAAAGGCCAAAGTCCTCTATGAGATTTCAGTGTTGCTTCCTTTTTTCACATTTCCCTTGCTTTGCCTTTGGTTTTTGTCACTCTGTGCTTTTCCTCTGCCTGCAGTCCTGGCACAGCTTGCCTTTCCCTTCTTCCTGCTGCCACAGACTGCCTGCCGCGGAGAGGTGGCAAGGCCTCTGTCCTCTGTGGCCCCCTGCCAGGCTGTTCTGGTGTGGTGAGTGTGCAGCATCCTGAGAGACTTCAAAGTAACTGCCCAAAGCTGAGGCACTGTCCCCACCACTCAGAGGCTTTGTCTAAGGTTGTCATCTGTGGCTGACCTTCGTCAGAGTCTCTAGGGAAATGGAGCTTCTGGCTGGGGCAGATGCACAGAGCAGGGAAGCAGAGAAGAGAAGGGGAGTGAGGTAGCTGGGAACGGTGACATACGGTGGGGGGCGGTGCAGAGGGCTACAGCCAGAAGCAAAATGTTTGGCAGCCACTGGGGACAGACTTGCATTGCAAATACTATTTCTTTAATATAAAGCTGGAGTCTAAGGCCAGTGTGCTGATGGTGAGTCGTTATTTGTGTTCATCTTGCTGGGAAGCACCAGAGTGTGTGCTGTTTGCTGTCTCACTGAAACCAGCTAGTCCTCAGTAATGAAAAGATTTTGTTGGTCCCTGGCTGTTAGGATCTGCAGAGAGTTGTCTCTCTCTGTTGAGGACTGGCAGTAGTGTTGCTGCATGGATGCTTTCTTAGGGTCATGCCGAACAGCTCTCTATTTGGCTTTGTGCAAGTTTGGCACATCTGCAGTAGTTTTGTATTTGGGTAAACCTAGTCAGTTACCAGGGCTGTTTGAATAAAAATATGGTAGGCTGACAGAGAAAATGAGGGGAAAAAACCTTGTCACTGCATATTTCCATGGAAACAAATATAGACGTGAAGGTAGATTTTATTTGGTTTTCGAGATATTCTGTTGTCAGTGGTTATTTCTGGAGCAATTAGAATATTGGCATATGTTGTCAGAAACCAAACCTCAGATGTGTCTGTTGAACCTAATGCACGCAGTTCTTCTGGTGCATTCTGGTCAGGCTTGGCTTCTTTAGAGAACCCACTGGTCATGAGGGAATTATGCACCCTTTGCACACGTTGAATCATGGAGGATTTGGCCCCAAGGCCATAGAGCAAACTTCAGACGAGGTAAACAAATACCTGAAATGAGCATGTCTTTGTTATGAAAGGTCAGAGTACACCACTGGAGTGATCCATGCAGGACTACAGACTACGTGTGCATGAGCTACTGTCCATATACAAATAATGCAGTGACCCAAAATAGTCTGTAATAAGCAAGTGCCATTGAGTGTAAACTCAACAGGAAGGCTACATCCTAATGCTACACGGTTACATTTTCATGAAGCTGAAATGCAATTACATACCATTCATTTTCTTGAAAACTGTTGGTTTTGAGCAAATGATCAGTCTTGCATGCTGCTTCAGTTTCCAAGCTGCGCTATTTATTCTAGCACAGCCTGGAAATCACAACATGAAGCTGTTGAAGAACAGTGGGAAATGCGACATTGCTGGTGATGCTCTTCCAGGGAGGTAAAATGCGAAGTGTAATCAAACAGAACAAACTGTCAGATTGAGACTGGAAATTTTAAATTCTTTCTGTTTTAACTAATCAGAGGTGTTTATTAGCTGAATAGTAAGATTAATTCTCTTTTTGTTTGATTTTTACTTTCACCACTCCTTGGATTTTATCAGTTAGGTATTTTTAGGACTGCAGAAATCTCACATCACTCCTCCTTCACCTATCGGAAGCCAAATCAGAACACAGTATTCTAGGATATAGTATTTAATGTTCCAATTTAAATATGAGCTACTTTTCATTACTAGGTTTTACTTGGTCTTGCCTGATTGTGCTGTGCCAAGGAGCTGGCACCCAGAAGGAAGAGATTAGCTGTTTGCTTCTGCTGTCATCTGGGAGTGATGCACAGCAGGGAGCATGAGAGGGGTCAGGAGTGGGAAGCCAGGCCTTTCCTTGTTTTGTTATCTGTACACCCATGCTTATGGAGTGTAGAGGATGTATATGGGGCCAATGCACTCAGCCTGCATTGGTGTCTATTACAGCCTGAGGAGAAAGGCAGAGAGGCATTAAACCCATGATGCCTACTCTTGACTTCAGAGAACTGGAAGACAAATATCCCACTCATGGAGGCAAAATGAACACACATGGACAGGGTTGCATCCCTCTCCCACATTAGGTCCACAGGAGGTAGCCCAGGCCTGAGTTGGCCCTGATGTTTTACCACTGTTTAACAATGACCTGAGCTACCAACACTGCCACGACTTCGGCCAAAGCCCCTTATGAATAATTCTACTTAATTATGGGTGAATGTCTGCAGCTGAAGCCTACTACCCATAATGATAGGATTACATTTAAATTCCTCAAGTTATACCTATAGTTCAATGCTTAGACTTTGGAGGGTATAACCTCTATTATTTTACAGCATGAGCTAGGATTCTGAATTCCTTAAGCATCAGAGAGCATCTGTCCAGAACCCCAGAGGCCATACCAGTTCCAGTGCAGTTCAGAACCCATCATCTGAATCGCATGTCAGCAAAACCTCCCCAAGGGCGGAAACTGTTCTACCTGAAGAATGAGGAATTGCAGCTGGAGACAGTGCCAAATAGATTTTTCTTTTCCATTGGGCTGATTTCTGGGAATAAAGCCAACTGGAAGACTGCTAGAAGAATATCTTCCTAACTGATCATATTTGCAATCAATTTTTGTGCCAGATGTTGCCTCACAAAATATGAAAGTCAGCAGACAGTAGTTCTAGTATGCAGTTTGAAAAGGGCTGATTTTTATATAAAGAAAAGAAAGAATATTTGTTGCTTTCTTGAGGTGTACAGAATCTGTATGCAGCCTTAAACAATACAAAATCATGCAGAAAGAAAAGGTGGGAATCCAAATGTCCTGTGGGAATAACAAATGTCCTGTAACAAAAACCTACTGTGTAATAGAAAGAGTTCTACAGCTACCTTTAATTTTGAAGAATTAGTCAAGAGATGCCTGACTTTCTTAATTTAATTTTCAGAGTTGACAGAGGAGAAGCTGAGAGTAAATTAAGCTGCTTTTTGGGAAATCATGGAACATGAAGTTGTTGGAAAGAAGGAAAGGTTGAGAACAATGGATGTTAGACAGGAACAGGTTCAGTTCTTTGCTTGTCACTTTTTTACTTTTTTACTAAGCAAACGGTATGAGTTGGTATCTATGGGATCTGTACCACCCTCTTCCATCTGTGAAGAGGAATAAATAGCACCTTCCCTAAGCAGTGCATAGTCAATATGATAATGAAGCTGTACATTAAATATATTAGATTAACTTGGCAGTGGGAGGATTTTAAGATGGTTGGAAGGTAACTTAAATTGCTTTGAGGATTTTATGATGAAGGAGGTCTTGTCCTTCACCCCCTTTGATCCCCTTTACTACTGTAACACATCGGTAGTGATGCAGCTACTGTATCATTGAACATACTAAAGGGGGTGGGATGGATAGTTTATCATAACAGTTTTGTAGAATTGGTGCTTCTTATACAGGCTCACTGTGCCCAGTGATTTGAGTTTTGTTGTACAATTTTTTCTGCCAACTCTCATGCTTTTTAGGACAGTGTTAGGATGAGATTCATGAGATGGTGCTAGTACAGGTCTATGGCACTGAAGAACACCACAGTGAGATACCTGTGCAGGATGGCTGCTGTACAGTGGCACTATGTCCTGCAAATTGTTCTGCTGGGATTTGAGTGCCATTCTCTGGGACATGGGGTAGGTGCTGATTGTACCCAAATGAAGCAAATGCTAAGAAGGAAAATGGGATCTTCTGGTTTATTGGGCAAGGTGTCTCTGATAGTAAGGGAGTACACCACTGGTTTGCAAGATACTGAGGAGACCCAGTGCAGAGCACTGTGTGTTATTCCAGTGTTGGGAAATCCTGCAGGCAATACTCTGGTGTTAAAAAAGATTAAATTACGTTTGAGACAGCAGGGCTAGTTAGGATTATCAGTGAACCAGTAAACTAGCCTTAGGAGAGGGCGCTAGAAGTGCTTCTATCTTTGAGCCTGTAAAACGAAATTTGAGCCAGGATGTGGCAGACCTTTAAAAATATGCAAAGGACCAGGAAATTTGCTCAGGCAGTGCCTTTCATGTATCCTGCATTTTGCTGTGCTAACCCAAGGACATGTCACAGTCACCCTCAGGAATGCAGACTCTGAAGAAACTGCTCCTGCAAAAGCCAGGGTGGTTTGGTTGTTGACTTCAACCATAGCAAGACCTACAGGAAGCTCCCTTTTCCTTGCTCTGAACATTTAGCCCTTAAGTGAAGTGGAATTAATACCACTGTGCTGTGTGGCTTGAAACTAGCACAACTGGAGCAGAAGTCAATTTGCTGTATTTGAAAGAAAATTAATTAAGGCCTCCTTTGTTTCCCTCAAGAGAAAAGCTCTGGGTAGTTTCCAGGAGATGATTTTTTTTGAGCTTCTCTGGTACAGGCCTATATGTACAGAACAAATGTAGTGCAGCTTCAAGACCCAAACCCCTATAAACTCCAGGTTGTGAGCTGAGTCTTATGGCAGCATGACAGCCCTGGTGACTGCTCCACAGTCAAGTTACAGAAGGAAAAAAGCTCTTAATGCAGTGCACGTTTGTGGTAGTTCAGGAAGGGAAATGTCATGGCAAGGATGATGCTCATGGCCAGGTTTAGTCCTTACCTGATCTTCATCAGCAGATTGTGAACTCAAGTACCCTAGCAAGGCAAAAGGGTGGATGTTGTGCCAAGACTTCTCTTTTATTCTTGTTTTTCCCATGTTGCTTTAATAGTCTTTTGGAGATGAGCTGCTCTATTTACATCTACTCTGAATATTAATAATGAATAATGTCCTGCTAAACACAAAAAATGTGCATGGGTTCCAGTATATGATACTGGAAGTTTAACTGAGGGCTAGCAGACCAGGAGAGGTGTGCAGAAGGAAGTAGGGAAAAAACAAAAACAAAACAAGAGAGGTATCATCTACAGGAGCCTAATGGACTGTGAGGTTTCTGAAAGCACTTAAAAACTGATTTACTCCTGCACAAATCCCATTTCAAACAGGTTGCCAATGAATAGGTCACAGAGGTGTTACCAGCAAGAAGGCAAAGGAACAAGAGCATGTGTGTGTGTCTGTCACGTATGCCCAAGTGGGAGATGCTGTTTTCTAGAATGGGGCTCGGCATGCTGGCAGCTCCAAGAAACAAAAAGCATCTCTGATGTGATGACAGCTACGTGCTTTCCCACTGGAATCTGGATGTGGGGGCTTGGTGGAAACAGAAAAATGTGAGTAGCTCTCCTGCATCTTAGCATTAAGAGCTCTCTCTGAGAAAAAAGGGTTTGTGAGAGAGTCCTCTGAGGCCAAAAAGTCTTTGATGACTGAGCTGGGAGCTCAGGGTGTCTGTAGCAGCCTGTCCGTAGAGTGAAGCTGTCTTAATCTTTTGGTTTTCTGGCTGGGCAGCAATGTGGAGGAGAGAACAAACGGCGTGGAGCAGGTACAGCACTCCCTCTTTGCAGGGACACACAGCACTGGGGAGAAGGAGGTCGTATAGGATGGTAATGTTAACAAGGCTCATGGCCAAGGATAGATTGTGTGACAACCTAAAGTAACATTATCTCTAAGACAATGTTTTTTCTCCTCTGGTAGTGCTTAGACTGTCATGAGACCTTTTCTAGCTGAGCACTACCATCAGAAATCATATTTTATCAGTGGCATCTACCAGAAGTGAAGTTACTTTGAAATTGGAGTCATGTTGGCATATGTGGCACCTGAACAGACTTCAATAACTTTTAAGTTGTATTGGGTTTGCATGGCCAAGATTTGGTAGCAGTGGGGGTACAGGGGTGGCTTCGGTGAGAAGCTGTTAGAATTTTCCTCCATGTCCAGCAGAGCCAATCCCTGGTGGCTCCACAGATGGATGTGCTTCTGTTCAAGGCTAACCACCAGTTAGAAATGGTGGTAATGCCTGTCCTTGAAGGACTGCACCCTGTGGAAGAGTGACCCACACTGCAGCAGGTTGAGCAGGACTGCTGACGGTGGGATGGACTCAGGTTGTGGCAGTTCACAGAGAGCTGCTGCTTGTGAGATGGACTCAGGCTGGTGAAGTTCATAGAGAACCGTCCCCTGTGGGAGGAACCCACAGTAGAAGGGAAGGACTCCTCTCCCTGAGCAGTGTGAGAAACCATGGGTGATGAACTGACCATAACCCCCATTCCCCGTCTTCATGTGCTGCTGGGGGAGGAGGTAGAGCTCAGGAAGGAGGGGGAGGGGTGGAGGGAAGGTGTTTTGAAGGTTTTATTTTACTTCTTATTATCCTGCTCTAATTTTTTTACCAATAAATTCAATTACTAGCTCTAGTTCTAGCCTGTTTTTGTTCATGATGATATCTGATGAGTGATCTCTTCTGGTCCTTATTGCAACTCATGAACCCTTTGTTATATTTTCCCTCTCCTGTCCAGCTGCAGAGGGGAGTGAGAGAAACTTTAGTGGGTGCCTGGAATCCAGCCAGCGTCAACCTGCTACAGAACTCCACCATGGGAAGGAAGGAATGGGCAGATGTGTGCAGGAGGGTAAGAAGTACCATTTGTTTTCACAAGGTTGTGGAAGGTTTTTGGCAGTCTGAATGGCAGGATACAAATTTTGAGTCTGGGATTAAAAATATGTTTCTTTCATCTGATCAATCCAGTGGCAGATCTGGATCTGGAGGGCAGCTACTGTCCCTGTGGGGTCTATCAGGGCATATAGAACAGTGTGCATTTGCATCACTGTGAGAGATATTTTATATTGTTGCAAAACATATCCTCTCCAGCCCAGCTTCCACTGCCATCCCGCTGCTGCAGGTTTGCTAGAAGAACCAGGGCAAGATGTGGTGTGGGGTGTCACACTGCCCCCATGTATGGGCTGCCATTTTCCCCACCCCTGTGCTAGTGAGTGGGACCAAATCCAATCAGTGTCTCTGCCAGAAAGGAGTGTATTGGTGGACTAAAACTTGTAGTAAAACTTCTGTGGAGTAAAAGCAACGTCCATAACCATTGGATAAGAAATTAATTGTTTAATCAGATGGGGCCACACAAAATAAGCATGCTTTGACCTTCTGTCAAGTTTGTCAGCTTTTATGCTTTAAAATTTCTACTACTGAAAATGAAATATTTCAACGAATTATTTATTTTCATCTCCATTCAAGCAACCTGAAAGCGAGCATTAGGAAAATTGTGCCAAAATACCTAGGTTGAGACCATAAGCTTTGTGCCTTGGGGAGAATGGGTGCTCTGGTGGTGGCAGCTTTCTTTACCTTCTTTTATTGACACATATAATAAAGAGAAAATTATTCACCTCCATCTTCAGAATCTGGAGCCTGAAAAGATTTCTGAAAAGAAAAAAAAAGTCGGTCACAGGGGTTTGCCTGGAAGAGGGCTGTAACTCTTTTGGGGGTAGTTGGTGGCATTTACTTCCTCTGAAGTACTGGCAGTTGGCTATTGCTGGTAACAGGATGTTGGATTAGACTGGCTGGTAGTCTGATGCCGTGTGGCAAATCCAATGTAAAAGGCATTAGTTAATGTCTGTGATACTTTGGACATTTAAGATGGTCTGTAAATGCCGATTTCTGTGATTCCATGATAAACAAAAAAATAAGCGCAGCCAAATTAGTGTATATGAGGCCTCAAAGGAAAAATATAGTGTTTTTTATTATGGCTTGATACAGTTATAAAGAGAAATATGTATGAATGAAAATTATGGAAACAAAGTTTAGCACAGAAATAAAAGGATCTCTAAACATTTAAAAAAGCTGAACTGGTTGAAGCCAAAAATGTGATGAATCAGCCTCTAGTGAGAGGTCATTTTAGTGAGAATTTGCCAGGAATTGCACCTTTCTCTGTGCATTAATGCCATGAGCAGAGGGAGTACTGTGTCAGCCTCCTCACAGCTCTTTTATTTCAGAGGTACAAAGGTTCATGAACTTTTCCTTCAGGCCCAGGACCATCTGCACTAATTGATCAAAACACAGCAAAACACAGGCCAATATTTTCACTCCGTGCCTTCCACCTTTGCATCTGAGATTTCACAAAAAGAGCAGCTGTGTGAATCAGCAGGTTTGTGTGCAGCTCTAGCTCCCACTCTTCCTTCCTGCCTTTAGGCATGTTTTCCGATGACGATGTAGTTTTTTTCCTGCTTTTTGGTGTTGAAGTGCTTACAAGGGGAGTATTTATAGGGAATGTTTTGTGATGTATCATATTCATCTCCTACATCTGATGAAATGATGGTAAGCTATACCCTATTATGGGCTTTTACTATGATCACTGTACTATTGCAGAAAAATAGGTAAACTTCCCTTCACCTTTGCAGTAGAACTACATATGGCTCCTTCCCCGTGTAAGAGGGAGAACATCTCACTCTCCACAGCAAAATATGAATTATGTAGCAGATCCATAGAAGGTAGGTGTTAATTCAAGCAATAGAAAGAAAAGCAAAGCAAGGAAACTTTCCTTGGTTCCCTGAAGGCACTTTTGGATGCAGGAGCATTGTCGGGAGAAACTGCAAAAAGCAGATGAAGAGAGAGGGGGTGGAAAGGAGGTGTAAGCATCCCCCTACACCTGTATGCACTAAACCCTGTGACCTCCTGCAACAGCCCAGCCTTGGACCTTTCAGCCAGCAACCTTGTTCTGCTGGTGCTGCACACCAGGACGGACCCAGCTGTGGCTTGTGCTACCACAGGCTGTCGCCAGCGGAGTGACCAAGGGTGTGCCAGCAGGTGAGCAGGTGGGTGGGACAGGGCAAGGAACAGGCTGGCAGGAGCGTGCCTGCTGCACGAGCATTGGCACGGCTCCCGTGCTGCCGTGGCAAGTTGGCAGTGGCGTGCCCCCGGCCGAGTCCCCGCACTGCCCGAGCTCTGGGGTGGCTCCGCAGCCGCGACAAAGGCAAGGGCCGCTCTCACCGTACGCTGCCCCGGCGAGAAGGGGCTGGCAGCGCAAGGAAATGGCCGGGACTATGCAATACCGCTCTCCCGTGATGCTGCGGAGTCGCTTCTGTTCCGGCACGGAGTGGCAGAAGGCCGGAGAAGGCTCCAGCTCCGCTCACAGCCGCTGTTCCCCGGTGCCGGGCCGAGAGCGAGCGCCACGTGTCCGTGCACGCCGCCCCGCGGAGAGGCGAGGAGGCTCGCAGCGTTCCCGCCGGCTTCCACCAGCGGCCATCGCTGGATGCGGTGCTCCAGCCCGGCCCTCAGCGGCGGCGGGTGCTGCTGCCGGTCCCCGGGCCGCGCTCCGCCCCCCAAGGGCCGCGCCGCAGCGCCCCCCTCCGGCCGCGCCCCTCCGCGCGGCTCCTTTAAGCGCTGCCCCGCCCCGGGCCCGGCTGGCGGGGCAGGGCGGGGCGGGGCCTGGCGCGCGGCGGCGGCGGCCGGGGCGTTGGGCGGGCGAGACGCCGGGGCGGCCGGGGCGCGCGGCCGCCGACCTGCAGCGCCAGCGGCAGCGCCGCCCCAGCCCGCCCGCCGAGCCCGCCCGCCCGGTGAGCACCCACCGCCACCGCGGGGGGAGGGCGCGCAGCCGAGGGGCCACCGGGGCGGGGGCAGGGGCAGCGGGCTGGTTGCTGCGGGGCGCGGAGCCGGGCCCGCCGCCGGGGAGCGGGGAGCGTGTGCTGGGCGGGGGCCGGGCGGCGGGGCCGGGAGCCGGAAGGTGTCGGCGGCGCTTCCACGGGTGGCCCCCGCGGGGAGCGAGGGGAGCCCTGCCCGGCTGCGGCCCCGCACGGAGCTCGCGGTGCTCGGGGCTGCGGCGGGAGCCCTTCCCCGCCCGGCCGCCTCCCTTACATAATGTCACCTGTGGTACCTGCGGCTCCCTCGTGTCACAGCGGCGGGTGGTCGGTGGTGACGGCGGAGCTGGGCTTTGAGGTCAGCGGTCTTTAAAGTGCGTGTGTATTTGGGCTTGAGGATTCGCTTGGTGCGGGGTGAACCTTTAGGATTTAAAACCCCTGAGTAACAGTGGATAAATGTTCGCCGCTCTCTTTTTTCTTCCGTAGTGCTTTTGGATGCGTAGGGAGGCACGAGGAAAGTGGTGTCTGAGGTGAAGGGGGTAGTGGAGGCACTGCTGCGGACAATTCTAAGTGAGAAACTTTGTGTTTGTTAGGTTCTCATCTTTGCTTTCTTTATGGTGCTTTCTTCTTTATTCTTTACCAATGCCCAGCGGTCGGAGCTTCCCTAGCAGCTGCCTTTACACGTGTGCAGTGCTTAGGCTGAGCCTCTACGTGTGTTTGTAACAAATCTATGGTAAATCCCCCGTGGAAGACGTGGAACTCAAAAATAGCCATTCTAGGCTTCTGAGAACTGGCCAGCAATAATTGTTCTAAGTATCCCTAAAACTGGGTAAAGGATGAAAAAACACCGTAATAAATTGTTCTTATTTCTAATATATTAATGGAAATAGTGACAGTTTTTCATCGTTGTAGTGTTCTTTTAAACAGATTAATGCAAATACAGTAGTTTCAAGTGGGCGTATTCTCAAGGGGGTTACATTATTGTGGGGAATGGATCTCTGATCTCTGTGCAGTTACAGTAACATAGATTTTGTTGAGTGGAAGGGGATGAGAGGAAGTAAATATATAAATTAAAAATATCCTGAAGTAGTCAAGAGCTAAACTGAGCCGATGGGCAGCGAGGATCTTGCACTTGTCTATTTGCGCTTCCTAGTGGCTTTTTGTGCGTGTTCCCATAAAAGCTATTATGTAATGGTGCTTCTCTTGGCAGGAATCTATTGTCACCGTAATTCCTGAGGTTTCTGGAGCAATGCAGCTTGTTCAGAAAAGTCATGGTCAGAACAATGGGAAGAAAAGTTCTTAAAAAGAGGTTTTAACCTCTTTAATTTTTCATGCAGTAGGACTAAGCTTAAGACATCTGGATCTTTTCCAGATTATCTTTTCTGTCCTCTGTTGTTCAGCTTGTCTTTCTATTCTCCTAGGCTGCACTATAGCTGTCAGGCACCGCTTGCTGCTTACATCTGCATCAGAGCTGGGAAAATATTGACTCTCTCCTTTAATAATATTTGTTATACTTTTTAGTGTTTTTTTTTTCTTTTCCCCTCTGAACAGATGCAAAAGTGATATAGTTAGAGCATTTAACTGTTGCTTAGACAAGAAAAAACTTGAGATAATGGAGAAAGGGAACTCTCCCAGTTCTCATCTCTAGTTTGAACTTGTCTGTGTACATCAAAGGGAGGCAAAACACCTAAGCAGAGAAGGAATTTACATATTAAATGCCAGTGCTCTAAGGATCTGTGCTCTCTGTGGTATCTGTAGTTTATCGTTGATTTCATCTACCTCCTCTTCAGGTGTCTGCCATAAATCTCTTTGTAAGTCTGTTTCCTTTTCTTTTCATGACATGCTATTATTTTGGGTATGTTTTGATGCAGAGAGAATAATCCTTTCTAGTAGTGTAATCTGGTGGCCAGTTGTGGCACTGGCAGCTTAACAGATCATACTTCTGCCTTTGTAACTTCCACGTTGTTTCTGGTAGTAATTCTCTAAGCAAAACTTCAAGAAAAACCTTCTTTTTGTTGTTTGCAGTTTCATCTTCCTTCTTAAATTGCTTTGTGCCGTTATTTAAATGGGTGTTCTATGAACCATTCCAAAAGACAATACCATCTGAAAGTAGAAAAGTATGTTTCTTTAAGGGCCACTGGGTGAAGGACGTGCTTGAAAGATCAAACTTAACTTAATCGAACTAGATTTTAAAATTGAAGGTCATTGTAGAGCGAAGTAGCACATGATAAGGGAGCCATAATCTCCTCTTAGACAAGTTCTTGTCAAAACCCAGATGCCCCCATATCCTCTTTAAAGGCAGATGACTCTGAAGTATGGGAAAGTACTGGTCTCGAGGCAGAAATTTCCCAAAGACTAGTGTAGCAGAGACTTGGGGCCTGTCCCTGTCTCTCTCTGCTTCTCATGCAAACTGACCACCTGTAAACTTTGAGGAGGACCCAATGTCCTTGAGTTGTGCAGTGCTGGGTGTCTCTGCTGAAACAGTTTCCACAGAGTTATCAGCAGTTTATATTTAGTGCAGCCGGTGAAGGTGGACTGAAATGGCTGCTTGAGCCCAGCTGCCAGGGCAGTCAGCAAGTAATGGTAACGGCAGTCACTAAATGTGCATCCTGCCCGGAGTGTAGTGGTTTGGATGGAATTCTGTCTGTCTTGGGGTCATGATTGTTTTCTGCTACTTTGCTTCTGCCTCGAGAATTGTTGCAACTCTCGGTTAGAGCAGCCTGCCATGGTCTTACCTCCTCTGTGCAACATCATAACCATAGGTTTGGGTTTCTGAGACTGCTCCTGTTGCATCACTTCTGCTTTTTATCCGTGTACTTGCTCACACCACAGCCGTCTACTGCTGTACTGCCCAAAGACATCTCTTGCTTGTTCTGCTTTTGTGAGCAAACAGATGTAAGTTACTGGCCTCTGTCAGTCCAGGAAGGTTGGATGCTGCGCTTGGGGTCAGTGTCAGGCCACTGCTGTTGTTTTGGGTTTTTTTTCCTTTTAAAAGTTGCATCTCCTTTTGCTTGCCTGAGATGCTTCCAGAGAAGTCCATTATCTATGAGTAACTGCATGAAAGCACAGTAGCTTGGAGGCCTTGCTCCAGAGTTTCCTGGACTGTGTCCTTCTGTGCACTCTGCTTGGCACAGGAACTCCCTGCAGCTCCTCTGCCCTCTGAGCCACTTGTCGGCTGCTGTAACCAGCTGATCCCAGCTGATCAGGCTTAGCTGGGAGAGGCATCTTTCACTGGCAGGGTTAGTCCCACAAGACTGGGAAGGAGGGAGGAGAGGCAGCAGGGATTGAGTTCTACTTTAAGAATATGTAAATAGAAACATGAAGGCATTTCCTAGAACAGGGAAAGGGAAAAGTTAACCCATATATAGCAAAGTTATTGTGGTATTACTTACAGTAGGTTTCTTTTGCCAAAATACTGTAGTCTGTAATTATATTTATCTAGTTGTCATGACAAGTTTCATGTCCTTAGAAATGCCATCATACACGTTTAATCCCTTGTCATTAAGTTATGCTGGGTACAGATAGAATTATTTCAGATGTAACAATTTAACCTCCAGCACAGAGTGTAGTAGTTGAGAACAGGTAGATTACTTCAGTGAAGCACTCTGTCTTTGTAAGCCATCAGGCTTAATTTATCAGGCTTTGCTGGTCTGTAGTTACACAGACAGTATCTCCCCCGATTCTGCTAGAAGTATTTTTTTTGCAGCTGCAAAAATTGATTTTAAGTTTAATCAGTAGAAATATTTCCTATAAATGTCAGGAAGTGAGCCTTTTGTATGTACCAGAAAAAGTTTTCATCTACCATTCGTATGCTGGCTGTTTTGTTACTGAGCTGTGGCAGCTACTACTCTCAGGAAGCTTAGTGCTCTCACATGGCTTACTACACAATGCAGTCTGCAAAGTCTGTTTTCAGACTAAGCATAGTGATGCTAATAAGAGACCAGTGAAAGCCTGGCCTGCTGTTTGCTTGCTTATTTATTTATTTAAAATATTTGTGTGTGGTAATTCAAGACAGTTTTTTGAAGAAGTTCACACTGAAGAGCTGCAGGACCAGAAGTTAGAGATGTAAAACCCCTACTTCTTTCCCACTGTCTCAGTTGTCCCCCCAGCTTCTGTCTTTCCCCGTGTGCTGGACAGTGGGCAGGCTCCAAAAGTGGAGTGCACATGGAGAACTTTCTCTGCAGCACAAAGGGTCTATGTGTCACTCTGATGATTCCCTGAGGGGAACTGCTGTCCTGGCAGCCAGCCCACCAGCAGTAAATTGGCTTCCTGGCATAAGTGAGTGTTGAGTGGAATGGGTTGGTCATCACTGCTGCGGTAACCTTGTAACAAGTCAAAGTACAGCTTTTGGAGCTGGTTGAACAGAGTCAAGGGAAATTGGCCACTGGAATCACTTTTATGTGGTTAATAAACCACCACGACATATTTGTGCTGTAGAATGGAATGGCTTTCATTCTCACAGTGTATGCTTGCCATAGGAGTAACTTCCTTGTAGGCAGTTGAACTTTGCAGGGCTGAAATGTGCAGCATTTTAACCTCATGTTCAGAAGTGAAATAGCTTCAGTACTGTTCAGTACTCTCTGTTCATAGCTCCCTTAGCTTACAATTCAGAAGTGCCAGGACCATTTGGAAATCTTCAAAGCCATTTACATTTTTCCTCAACTGATTTTCCTCACAGTTTATAATATTGCTGTGCTTCACTGCTGTTCCTGTTTTTTCCTTGCATTGATTTAATGGGATTTTGTAAAAAAATGAGTGAGAATTGCAAGACTTTGTAATCAAAACCAAGTTTGCAGCTTGTTTGGGATTGAAGATAGAAAAGAAGTTATGTTGCTATACTGGATCTCTTTCTGCAGGACTGTGAAGGGTACAAAGAGGGAAACTCTGCTGAAAAGTCGGTCTTTAAAAAATGGCCAAGCAAACCAAAGCCAAACAACATCCTTCCCAATCCCCCAATTTCTGTAAGTGAGCTTGAGAAAGATGTTCTTACTTTATATAAAAATGCAGATCTTTCAATAGCTAGATTAGTAATGTGATTTCTAACAGTAGCTGTCAAAGGCTGCTTGTTTTGAAAGGAGCTGTAGTTTGTGTAGTGTTAAACCTATAGATTAGTGAAATGCTTCAATGTCTTTGACCTATTTAGGCTCTTTGGGTTTTCTTTTCTCTGTAAATAACTTATTAAAATTCTTCAAGGACAATATATTAGAGCAGCCCACACTAATACAGTTTTATTGGGTGATGTGTCAGAATCCCCTTCGGGTATTGGAGCCCATTTGTGCTGACCACTCTCAAAAGGCATTTTATTTGTTAGACCTAGTAAGGTGCTGTAATGTTAATTAAAACACCTCCCCCATCCCTCCTTTAAAGGAAAGAATGCATACTGGGTATGTGTTGCTCTCTAATGAGCTGAAAGCCAGCTGATGTGCAGTGAAAACACCAGTAATTTATCATTCTCTGCTGTGTATGGATTCATTATATTTGAAAGCTAAGACAGAAACTGCCTCTAAAATACCCTGTGTAGGTTATCCTTTGGTGTTGGTACGCAGACTGAGGAGAACCTCTTCTGTGCCAAAACACCAGCCTGGGAGGGTGATTGACATAACTGCTTTTCAAGAGAAGTGTCAAAATTGCAGAGCATTGCTCAGAGGGTATGAAAGCTTCACTTCTCCATCTGCTGCCGCATATGCCACTGGCTCGCCAGTGGCCATATGTGCGATCAGCCTGAAAGCTTTAAAGCCAGCTTCTCTCTGAGGGCCCCTCACTCCTTTTCAAAGTCCAAAAAGGGCATGCTGCTTGCTTCAGGAAAGGGAGGGCCCTGTTTTCCCCTTAGGAAAATCGAGTAGTATGTCTTCGTAAGTTAAAGGACTATTGCAAAGAGCTGTGTGATCCTGAAATGCTGCAGACTCATTCTGTGATGTGCAACAGAAGTGTGCTGGAGACTCATTGCAAGATTTGCCTTGATCTATAAGTAGACTAGAAAACCACATAAACTTACTATCAGAGATTAATTAAAAATTATTTCATGGGTATGGGGAGCAAAGTTCTAAGATCAGGGTTTGTGTCTTTTTGTAAGCATATCAGAGATGTGAAGAGCAGTTTGCTATGCTAGGTTTACTTTTCATTTCATTAACTGTGAGAACCTTCATCTCAAGTCTGTTTGTGGTTTCCTGTCTTGCAGGGATTGTACACTTCTTTGACTTAAAAAGCTGACATTTAAATGTGACAATGAAATGTTTAGCAGCAAAGCAGATCTTTAAGCAGGCTAGACAAAAACTCCTTTCAGCTGCAAGGCTTTTGCTCTCACTTGGATGACCAGTTTTCCCCGCTCTCTGTTGTACTTTCCAAAATAGAGAAAGTTGCCTTATCAATAACCATCTTTTTAATTATTGGAATTTTTAGTAGTAATGCTGCGTAAAAAGGGTATATACGGTGATGAGGCAATAAAACGTACCTGTGAATTTTGGCACTGTAGAAATAAATTTCTCCTATGCTTATCTGAGAAGTATGCAGTATGTGCAATCACTGAAAGTGCATGTGTGTATCTGATGGCTGGACATGATGCAGTTTTAGTATGGGTATTTTGGGTAGCTTTTGGGAAGTTTCTGTCCTGCTGAAAAAAAAACAATCAAGTAAGCTTGAGTGCTGCTGAAAAATGTTTTTGGTAACGCTCTGCTACACTTAAAACTGTTCTCTTCTTATTCTCGGGATTTTTAAATGTGTGAGGATAGTTTGCATATTCTTTGATTTTGAGTAGCTTGTGCAGTATATCTCAGACCCAGATCTGAACTTTGTGAGTAATGTCTGTACCTGAAGCATAGCTGTGTGCCTGTGTCCTAAAAATGTAATAGAGCTACTTCTACCCTCAAGCTTCCTGCTCTATCATGTGGCAGAGTGCCGTTCTTAGTACTTACAGGGCTAATACCTACTTTTTTTTTGTGCAGTTTTAGGTGTGTGGATCAACCTATCGTCACTGAAGCATCAGTTTAATCTTGCTAACTTGACAACCGTTGTATGCCAGCCTGTGTCAATACCAGGTAAGATGAAAGCTGATGCTGTTACTTTGTTTTTCCTGAGTTTTTGCTTTTAAAACCTGCATTTTGTCCAAATGCCGTGACTCTTCTGTAAACTGAAGGCAGAATGTGCTGCCTTCTATGCTCTCATCCTACAGTGAGACAGTATTATCAACTCTACCTTTTGAAACAGGAAGTATTCTAAAATGTTCTTAGGTTCTCATTCCTTTGTGGCCATGCCTTACCATTTTTCTTGATGCTGCTGTTAACCTGATTTTTATGGTGTTCAGATGCCACAAGCTGTGGTTTTTGTCCTTGTATTCTTCACTCCCTTACCACTCCCTGATTTTTGATGGAGAAACTACTGAAGTCCTTCCTGCCTTCCAGAGTTAAGCATGCATGATAAGTCACCTGTGCTATCTGACCTTTTCTCTTGAACAAAAAATAGGTTTTGTTTTGATTTTTTTTTTACCCCTACCTGCTCCTAAATGTTACCTTTGAAAACCTATCACAGAAGGATCTTACTTGTGTATCGTATATTTGATATTTTAGTTGTAAAAAGCTACCCAAATATGTCTTCCAGAGAATTAAACATAAAGCTGTTATTTGGGCCTCATCCTTTTATCCCCCTTTAGAGAAGGGGTGTAGATTGCAGGGGGGTGAAGTGGGGAGGAAATCCCTTTAATGCTTTCAACGAGATTATTATCCAGTGCTCTAGGGGAGTCCTAGTACAGACAAACTAATGTGAGTCTTTGTTCTGATGCTAATCAAGATAGGGATAATTCTTCTGACTACGCCTTCTTCCCCTCAGAACCCTCTAGCATTGAAAAGGCATCAAGCTCCTTTGCTGTCTCTCTTTTTTGCCGTGCCTGCCTGATGTCCTTGTTTTCTGTAACTGCTACCTTGAGTAGCAGTTTTGAGTTTTAAGAAGGCCTCATTAGGAATGTTTACTGAGATTTTTTGGGTAGTCCTGGGTGGTACTTGTACACTTCAGTGTAAGAGATATCTTGGTGGCTCTGTGTGTGTGTGTGCATGTTTATTTTTTGAATCATTAAGTAAAAAAACCCAACTCTTTGTTGCTGCAAGACACATTGGATTGAATGCAGTGGCATCTTTTGCTGCATGTTGGGACTTGTAACTGAAATTGAGAGGGTATTTTTCATTCTGTCTCTTCTTGGCCAAAGCAAACAAATGTTTCTCAGATACTTTTAAGGATTCCATGAGAGGCTAATTTCTCATCCCTAGTCCAGAGAGCTCTGGAAATTTTCTAGAGTGAATGTGTGTGCAGCCTAGATAATGTTTTAGTTTATGCCAGTAATCTGTTCTCAGCCTAAACATAATCTGCATAGCGTCAGAGATAAGCTTGAAACCTAAGTATATAGTGAAATATGACTCTGCCTGTGATGTAATACAAAAAATAGTGCCTCTTCACCACATCTTACTTGTGACAATAGGGAAAGAATGGTGGTGAAAATATGGTTGTCTCATGTGAAATGCTTGCATCAGACAGCTGTTAAAAAATGTCATGCAGATCAAGAAGAGGAGGGAAGAAGTGTTTGGAGTTAGCCTCTTTAGCCTTTCCTTGGCAGTAAGAAGCTGATGAGAAGCTCATCCTTGTGCTCCTAAAAGCAGATCTGCTAATATAGCAGCACCGTTAGTGATAGTGAACTCTCTGAGGATCGCTGGTGGCAATCCTCCCTGGGTCTGGCTGGGCTGGCCTTCTGGTGAATTTGGAAGGGAGTTTGCAGTTTTTCACTAGGAGCTGTTCCCTTTGCAGGGTGGTTTGAGAGACCCTTTTTGATATCAGTACAGAACAGAGGGATGGGAAGGATTTAGACAAGTTAAAAGATCTTCCCGAGAGGACAGAAACTGCGTGTGTGTGCACAGCTAGCATGAGCATGTTGGTGCAATGCTCTCATGTTTCATTTTGGTGGAGTGTTTTTCCCTAATGCAGAATTGGAGAAGTCCTGCAGTGGTGATGTAAAAATCTGATTTCTTTGCAAACTGCACAATTTTTGCCTATGTAGACTATCTAGATAAGCTGAGCCTAAAAGATGTGTGTGAAGAGGTAGACGTGGGGCAGAGGGAGAAAGGCACCCTCAGAAGATAGTCAGCTGAGGAGACTGACTTGAAGTGCTTTCTGCCTGTGACTATGGACAGATGCAGGGTGTACATTTCAAAGTAATCCATCCTGGCTCCTGGATGCAAACCTGCATGGAAACATTAGCTGTGGGAAGGGGTTTATCACTTCTAAACAGTATTGTTTTTTAAGGCTGATCCTGTTGACAATATCCTGAAGAGACATCACTACCAGATAGGTACATTTTATGTGGGTAAAATTATGGGCTAGGTATAACTGCCTTTGCCCAGTGCTATTAACCCAACTATTGTTAAAGCCCAGGAAATTCTAATTTTCAGAGTGATTGCTTTTACAACCTGAAAATAAACCTGGAAGATATATGTGGTATTGGTTTTATCTTTTCGTTACCCTTGATTTGCATATGCAAAATGAGTAAAGAAAAGATTTCCTGCAAATGGGTGACCTGTACTTAGTTATTCATATTCTGCCACTTTTCAACATCCTGCTCATCTTTTGTGATTTGAGACAAAGTAAGTTGATCTCTGTTAGCTTGGTTCACCTGGGTACCTGTGCCCAGTGTTTTCCACCATCTCCAGCTGGGCATCTTCCAGAGTGATGGGCATGCTGCAGGCTTTCCAGGCATTGTTCCAGATAAGCCTTGCTGAATTTGAAATATGTGATAAGATTTATTTTTATTGTCTGATGTACTTGGTGTCAAGCGACCGTACTTGCTAAAGCAAACTGGTATTTTACAGTCCTCTTATGTTGTGCATTTAATTGCTGCATAACTGATTTGTTCTGTGTTAAGCATACATTGATTTCAGGGTTTTTATGCCAACATTGATTTTGGCACTTTTTTGTTTGTTTTTTTTATATATACATTTGTTTAACAGGCTCCTAGTCAATAGGGAAATTTTGCACCCTCTTTCTGCTTGAAGTAGTACTTGGAGCCGTTGAGAGGAATTATTCAGCTTAGGAAATACAGTCCTGTGTCTTAACAAGAGCTTGTGAATTCCTAAACTCTGTGAAGATAAAGCCAAGCACAGTCAAGGTGCTCAGAGAAATTAAAGGCAACACTTTCTTCACTTTCAGCGGCTCATACAGACTGTTCAATTTGTTAAAACCTCATAAGTGGTGAATTTCATATGATACGTTAACAGAGGGGTTTTTTTTTTGCCTTCCATATCACAAAGATCAATATTAAATGTAAAATCAATAAATTTTATCTGCATGTTTTTTCTGCTAGGACTCATAATTACTTTAGTCTTTCTTGTCTTTGACTTCTTCTCCTTCTTGGCTATGGAGCCAAAAATGTTACATGTCATAATGGTAGAATTCCCTCTAAATGTAGAAGGCAGCCTGTTTTTCAAATTGGAAAAAAAAAAATAATTTTGAAGTGAGGTTCAGGAGGACAATGAGGTATTTGAAGGAGGCTTTTTGAAGCTGGCTTAATACTTTTTTTTCAGTATACTGGGATTATCCTGTGAGTTCAGTAGAGTCACTTCGGAGTTGCACCATGAAGGTGATTGCTGTTACACCCTCACCTGATATAGGAAAGACTATTGCAGAGATCCTCTCCCCTTGTGACCAAGGGAAGTAAAACAGGAATGTTGCACCGAGAGTGTGTGGAATGCCTTAAGGAGTGTGAAGCTGTGCCTGCTAGCCAGGAATTGGATGCTGAGAAAGGTATTTGATTTGCACTGCCTGTGAGAACAGAGACTGATAGCTCTGGAGGCTGATGCTCCATTGCTGTCTCAGGAAAAATACCTATGAGGTTAGGAAAGTTGATTAGTGTAGGCAGTATTAATGCAAGCTTTGTACAGTGCCATGGATGTTGTGTAGCTGCTGCTTGGCTTCTCTGTGAGCTTCCTGCCTTTCAAAATAACTGCAGGAAATGGCACAGTAAATTGGATGAGCTTGTTTTGATCGATTGTGGATTTTTGCCCACCTATATCTGTGCAATTTTTGGGGGTAGATCAGTTTCCTCAGTTTATATGTCTGTAATCAAGGTGTAACCTGGTGTGCTAGGCAGTGCTCCCGAGTGAGGACACATATCCCAGTCAGAGGCCAGTAACAAGTGATAGAGGAAGGTAAGGGAGGAAAAAAGGTGTGTAAAAATAGAACTACATAAAACTGAAATAGCCTGTTTCTTTTATGTGATGTTACTCTTAAGATGTTGGTGATATAAGTACATTTGGGAAGACAAACCTTGCAACAATCTACCAGTCTCCTGGTGTCCAGGAGCTAGTTCTTGGAATGAAGTTATGTTCATTAGCTTTCTGTGAGGAAGAATTATTGTTTGGCCAAAGGTTTTTGCCTTTAGGCTGTGTTTGGAAAAATAAATTTTAGTTAAATTTAATCCAGTTTGCTTTTTATTGGTATTAAAAGCTTAAGTCCCATTCATTCTCCTTGGCCTTTCTATGATGAAGACATTGCTGGGGTGAACCTTGCACTTGGATATCTCATCTGTGTTCTATAGGTAATTCTGTAGCAAAGGATGCGCTTATTTGATGTCTTCTGGAAGAAGAGCTAAAATAGCTGAGGTACCTAAGCAAAAGCTCATTGAGTAAAAATTACATGCTTCCACAATTAATGTCTGTTTCCAGTGTAATAGGGTGTAACGTGTGGCTGCTGCATGCCTGTGTGTGACTTCATTATGTTGTGGTTTTTCCCAATGTGTAAGGCTGAAAGGTTGCTGAGCTTTCAGCTGCTGGTGTAGGGTTGTGGCAGCCACACCTGGCACATGGGGAGGAGGTGACCTTGTAGGTGTGCAGGGCATGGGCAGCTGCAGGGAGGAAGAGCATTTAGGTGTTGCTGCTGATTTGTTTCTGCAGTAGCTCTGAGCTAGACCTTTACTCCTTTTGCATCAAACAGCAGTGCTTCCTCACCAGACTTTATTGGATAGGAAAGCTGAAATACTTGGTGTTCCAAAAACAAAAATCCT